TCCCAGCATGCATCTCATGCACATAATATATGTGCACTCAGCACCATACCAAAATGGGTGTTGCCAATTTAGTAGTTAGTTCCAATAGATGTTGTCGGGGTTTACTATATATATAATACCTTTGCCATCTTGGATTCGTTTTGAACTGTTGGGTATGGTGGAGAATGATGGTCTTATATAAATTGATGTATATCTTAATTAAGAAAACTGGGTCATGAGAGGAGATATTGTTTGTGATCCATAAATTATTTTGCAATTTCCTGTTTTCACATTTGCATTTTTTGAGATTAATTTGCAGTTACAAAAAAAAAAAAAAACTGCAGTTACAATTAGATATTATCCGAATCTAAATGCTCTAATTGGAAACATTCTTAAATACTCGAAGAATAAGGTTTAAATCTTTGTGAATTTTATTATATAGTTTTCATGGTCATCTGTTATGTTTTTACTAAGTCAGTGTGGTACTTCGTTACTAAATCAAAAAGCAACCTTTTTCAAATAATATATATGCCCCAATAAATATCAGCTTTATGACTATGTCTGACTTTATGCCCCAATTGTTTCGTTTTGATGTGCTGGTAACTTATTTCTTTTTCAACAATGATATGTGACAATTTTTATTATACTATTCTTCCCCTATAATAATTCGCTTATATTATATTATTTTGAAAATATAACAACTTATATAAATTTTTGTGGCTTGCAAGTATTATTTTTATTTCTTTTTTATATGTTTATCATTGTGTGGCTGTGATTTCAGTCTCTGGAAGTGGGACTGGGTCAGCCTTATCAACATGGTCCCCTGCGACTTGTTTCAGAATGTGAAGTCTTCTGATACCTCTCATCCATCACTTTCAAGGATTAGCCCGGTCAAAACCGATCAATAATTGTTCACTTTATGCTAACCTATTAAATTACACGTAATTGCGTTTGCTTTATCGGACAGAATATATTTTCTATAACAAAATTATGTAATTTTTTGTTAAAGATATTTTAAACACCAATATAGTATTTTTAATCCCTTTAATAAATGAGTTTTATTTTTCTTATGTCACATAAAATAAATCTTCTCTCCTACTCTCACAACAAATGATGAGACCCACTTTAGTTTTTAAAAAAGAAAAGAAAATAGAGCATGGAAATCGAAGTGAGAATAGGAGATAAAATTTCTCTTATGTGACATAAGAGAAATAAAACTCTTAATAAATTATTTATTAAGCAATTTCGCTTCCCTTAATTAGTTATTTTTTAATTTCATAAAATAAGAATATTTTAGAGTTTATACAATGTTATTAAACCCGGCCCAATTATTGACCTGATCGAAATACTGGGGTCAATGGTTCAATTGCATGACTATATAAGTAGGGAAAGATATTCTACCTATCACTTTTTTTGCCTACAACTTTAAAATACCATTAGATCAAAATCTTAACTAACATTTATCTTTCTCTCTCTTCTTGAGATTTTGATCTAACAGTGTTGGAGGTGGTAGGCAAAGGTAAGCAAAAAAAGTGGTAGGTAGAATAACCTAACCCATATAAGTATATGTAAATCTATAATTTATTTTAATTAACTATAAATATACTTAAATATTTGTAAAAAAATATCAATTTCAAATATTTTAATATAAAAAATAATAAATTACACATCATTGTCCAACAAAAAATCAATCAAACATATAATATTTATGATACTATTGTTTTAAATTCAGTAAATGACATTTCTAACTATAAATCAAATTAAAATTCCCTGCATATTGCATAACCAAGATTATATTAGTGTAGTAGGTATAAAATCTATGTAAGTTAATAAGCTACGTATCACTCAAATATTTCAAAAGAAGACAAACCATTTGTGTGTGAGAGTGAAAAAAAAGGAAGGCATCAATTAATGAGAACAAAATAATTTTTTTTAAGAACCGGGCCAGGTCACTCGTTGAATAATCGGGTCATCAGTTTTTATGAAAATCGACCGGGTCGCACCAGGTCACACGAATTTTGTAACATGGCTGGTCCAATATAAAATTTGAATCGGTTAAATGACCGACCCACCGATTTTCATGTGGATCTATCAGGTTTTTATAACATTGGTTTTAGAATTGGTTCAAATTAATTTTAACAAAAAAATATTTGATCTAATCTTATTGTTTTTTGTCATTTTTAAATTCAAATCCGATTTTGAATAATCATCAGTTTTTATTTCTTAAAAGACAATAACTAAATCTTAAAATATATAATAATATAACAAAATTAGTTTAAACTATTAAACATTCATCTCATATAATATAATTTACACAAATAAAATATATTTTACATCCACGCTACTAAAAACAAAATTTAATAATAATATTATTATTTTATTCATACTTTAAGAAAAGCCAAGTTATGTTTCAAAAAATAAAAAATGAAATAATTTCAAACAAAAAATCATACCCTTTTATGAATTTAAGTTTGGTACAGCAACCTTAGAACAAGGATAATTATTTATGGGTTCTATTTTTCTCATGTTGTAGGAGATAAGTATCTCCTACTATAGATACATAATATGGTGGAGCCCACTATCCATTAAAAAAAGAAAAAAGAAAAAATGATGTCATAATTTTTTATGTGAGAGAAACATGAGATAGTTATCTCATGTAAAATGAGACAATTATTTCCCATTATTTATACTTAAAAGAAGTAAAAATGGTACTAAAAAATTTAATAAGTTCACATCACATGTATTTTAAATACAAGTGCACGCCCATACGTAGGGTTGGCAAAACGGACCAACTCGGACCAACCCGCATTCAACTCGAAAAAAACGAGTCAGGTTAGGGTTTGCTCGAAAAAAAAAATGAGCCAGAAAATCCAACCCGACCCTAGTCGGGTTAGGGTTGGCTCGCGGGTTGGCTCAAAAATATGGCTTGTGGGTTGGCTTGAAAAAATAGCTCACGAGTTGGCTAAAAAATTGCTCAGGGATTGGCTCCTTTTCAGCCTATTTAAATGACTTTATAGTATTAATGCACCTGCTATGTGACTTCCATTAGCTTAAACAAAGAGTTACAAAATGAGAAATAAAAGCAAAAGATTTTAGTTTCAAATTTTCTTCACAACAAATTTGCATCAACATCTAGAAACAATCAGAACCACTTCCTACCAAGTGGGTAAGATATTTGAACCAAACAGAGCCAGCACAGCCTAACAATATAAAAATGGCATGGATGCGAGAAGATTAGGAACTTAGGTTTAGAGAAGAAAGAAAAATAATGACAACACATGTGGTTTGTCCATTTTTGTATATTATATTTTGTATGTTTTTATTAAAAAAAAAACTAAACCCGCGCTGACTCGTTTGACCCGTGGGTTGGCTCGTTTGACCCGCGAATTGGCTCATTTTTTTCGCAGGTTGAAATGAGCCGGATTGACAGCTTATTTTTACCAATCCAACCCGACTCATTTTTGACGAATTACGAGTCAACCCGACGAATTTCCTTGTTTTTTCCAACTGTGGCCACACAACAAATTTCTTAAAGGGAACGTCTGCTGTGCTTTATAGACTCTGATATATGTTATAGTTTATTTTCATTTATATCATTATATTATGATATTTTACGTGAACTAAAATAAAATAATATTCCAAGAGAATTACTCATTTACTCCATTGAAGATGGTGGAGCCTGTCCTAGTGTGAACTGGATATATGCATTGCAAAGAATCGTCAAGGGCCACAGCCCACAAGGCATCCACTTTTTCGACTTTTATATATTCTAATTAATAAATTATTTAATTTTTTTTTTTTATATATATAGAGGAGATGATGCCTTCTCATAATCTGATCTCATTATTTGTTTCTTGAGGCCTGCATTGACGCTATCGCTTAGCGAAACGTGACGACCGCAACAACTTTATCTATGTTTCCATAATGCCCTTCTCAATCATTCTTAATTTCTTTCTCCAATAAATTTAAAAATTTACACAATAAATACTAACCGACATTCTTTAGTAGGGAAGATAATAATGAAATTTTCTTTTATACTATGATTATAAGATTTCCAATTTTTTTTAATTAGTTAAAAATGGGAATCGATCTGTTTCTGGGACTTAGCCCCTCTTTATTTACAAAAAATAAAAATAAAAATGGGAATCGATTTATTATTCTTTACTTTTTGAGATAAAGGGTAATTTAATCACTTTCAGGATGTTAAAGTTTTTATTTTTATTTTATTTTATTTTTATAAAAAAAGCATTTGTCAAAAGCAATACTTTTAATATGCGTGAGAGTAGTTTTACAATTAAAGATGTGAAAAAATAGGCTGACAATAAAAAAGTTTTTTGTTGTTGTTGTTGCTGTTGAAAGCTAAAAAAGGATTAGTTTGATATAATGCGAAAGCTATTTTTTCACCATCACTCAATTTATTGTCACATTAATTGTTAATATAATGTGATTTCTAATATAATTATAATACAAGTTAGATTATTAATAACATATCAATACATAATTAAATAATATCACCGGTACATCAGAATTAAACCTTAACTTTGAACGAAAATTTTGAGTTTGCAATGCATTCGTATGATCACATACTCGATCGTTTATAATTTAAAATACTTTATCTTTCTAAAATTAGAATATTTGAGATATATTCATGATAAGAAAACGTATATTAGATGAGTTTTTTCAATTAACTGCACGTACATTTGAACAGAAATCTTATAATCGTAGTTAAATAATAGTGCATCAGAAATAACGTTTATGACATAAATTTGAACAGACACACTTGACACAAGTACACAAACACAACATAGCTTAGTTTCATATTAAAAGAAAAAACACCAAACTTAAAAAAAAAAAAAAAAAAAACAACGCAGGGGTATTTTAGGAAACTTGTGTGGGCATAAACCAAGGTTGACGAGGACGAACCTTTATTTCCGAGGCAGAGTTTCCACGTGGCGACGCACCACGCGGCACGCGCTTCCTACGTCAATGTCTTCATAGGCAAATGCAAACGCAAGTGTTCCTTTCATTTCTTTCTATGTTCCACGACCCACAATCCCTCTGCTTCTTCCTTCTTTCTTCTCAACTCAAAGTTCGTTCCTTTCTCTTCAACTACCCAACTTTCCCTCACTTCTTTGGATATTTCAACGAAGAAACCCAAATCAAAATTCTCCCTTTCCTTTCTCTTATACTTGTCACTCTTGTAGAAGCTCAGAGAGTTGTGTTTAGAGTTAAGGCAGGGCCTAATGGGTAACTGCCTAGATTCTTCAGCCAAAATTGATGCAGCTCAAAGCTCCAGATCCACTTCTGGTAACCCCATCTTGTTTTTTTTTGTTCATCTATCTTCTCATCACACTTAATTCCCATAGATTTCCCTCTTTTTTTGGAGGCTTGTGATTATTATGCTACCGTGGTTGCTTTCTCTTTCACAGTTTTCTGGGAACTGGGTTTCAGAGTTATGGGTTGATGGTGTTGTAAATCCTCTCTTGGGTGGGGGGGTTCTGTTTGCTTTTGTTGTCCCCTTTTTGTGTCCAAGTTTGATTTGGGTAGCTGGGACTTAAATCTTTCAGCTCATTTCCAATTTTAGAATGCAAATCTTTGTCAAAGGAGTTGGATACAATTTGATTATTTTTCAAAGTATGACTTTTTGATTGTTTCTTATGGGACTTTACCTTGATTTATAGTGCTTCTACATTTCAGCTTGAATTATTACTTGTACTATAAGGGTTCAAATTCTTCAAAATGTTATCCTTTTCCAATTTAAGGATTCTGAGTTTTTGGTCTATTTCTCCTTCTTCAATTTTCATCACCTCTGCCGATGTTAAACTTATTCGTATGATATTCGTATGATCTGATTTTGTTTGATACTTTGTTGATCCTGTCCCAGTTTTTCAGTCATGGATTGTTTCGAGAATTGAAGTTTGATTGCTTTTTATCTCCCTTAATAAGTTGCCTGAGAGTTTGTATTCGATTTCTGCACACGTAATCTTGTGTCAAATACCATGTAGATGTTCGTTCTCATCTTTATATTTGAAGTTTTACGAAGTGGGAGAGTTCAGACTTCATACAGTAATTAAACTAAGCAAAAGATTTGGCTTTGTTTGTTTTCCTGTAATTATGTGGATTGTGAAGTGTAAGGATGAAATTGAGCTATAACTAAGGAAACATGCTTTTGTAAGGTTTTAAGTATAAATTACTCGTTCAGAATTTCCCTAAATGGGTTCTGATATTGTCGATGGTTGAATTTGATAGGCTATTTGTAACTACCCGTTTTTGTTTGTGTAATAATGGCATTGTATATGGTCTAACACCTTTTCTTCTTCTTCAGCATCAGGAATCTCAAAAACTAGTCCTTCCAGCCTCTCTATTCCATCATACAGTGAAAAAAGCAATGCCTCAAGTCTTCCCACACCAAGGTCTGAGGGTGAAATCTTGTCTTCGCCCAATCTTAAGTCCTTCACATTCAATGAGCTGAAGAATGCCACCAGAAATTTTCGTCCTGATAGTCTTCTTGGTGAAGGGGGATTTGGTTATGTTTATAAGGGATGGATTGATGAACATACATTTACAGCTTCAAAACCTGGATCAGGAATGGTTGTTGCTGTAAAGAGGCTTAAGCCTGAAGGTTTTCAAGGTCATAAGGAGTGGCTGGTAAGTGTTTGCTTTCCAAGCCCATATGGGGGCTTGCTCATATTCACACACCCCCATCCCCTGCCCAAAAGAAAAGTATATGGTTTTGTTCATTCTTATAATATGCATGTTAATGAAACTGTAATCTATTTCCAGACTGAGGTTAACTACCTTGGACAACTGCACCATCGTAATCTGGTTAAATTAATTGGGTACTGCTCGGAGGGAGAGAACCGGCTATTGGTCTATGAGTTTATGCCCAAAGGGAGCTTAGAAAACCATCTATTTAGAAGTAAGTTACCTAAACATTACACCGTTCATTTATAATTTGCATCTATTCAGTTATTGCCTTAATCATTTGATCACCAAAGAAAATCAGTCAACAAGAACGGATTACTGCTTCCTTAAGAATGATCTCCTTTTTTCTTAACTATGATGTGTTTCAAAATTCATAATTCAGTTTGTTGATGGCCAAAATCCAATTTATGGGTTCATTGTTTGTGACAGGAGGACCGCAACCACTCTCTTGGTCAGTGAGGATGAAAGTGGCCATTGGTGCTGCCAGGGGACTCTCTTTCCTTCATAATGCCAAATCACAAGTCATATATCGTGATTTTAAAGCTTCTAACATCCTACTGGATGCTGTAAGACCAATGAGAATATAAATGATGTTATGATTTCTTCATTTCTATTATTTGTGTAAGCTGCTTACTTATCATGCATTGGAATTGCAGGAGTTCAATGCTAAACTCTCTGATTTTGGCTTAGCTAAGGCGGGTCCGACCGGTGATAGAACTCATGTGTCTACTCAAGTCATGGGTACTCAAGGATATGCAGCACCTGAATATGTTGCAACTGGTATACTTTAGCTTCACATTAACCATTATTGGTGCTTTACCTAGTTATTAATATTTATGGTCAGTAATCTTCATTCAGTTAACGTCCATTTTCACATGCTATAGAACTAATCAATCCTATGAGAGTCTAGGTATTACTCTGATATAGTTTCTTTTCAAAACAAGCAATTCTGTGCTTCAACTTTTAGGTTCATTGTGTTTTATATGGTACACTGTTTCCATAGGATAGATCAGAAGAAGACTCATTTCATATGTCTATTATTTTACATGTGTCATTATGTATTAAACATTATACTAATGCCTTAATTGATTTACAGGTCGGCTTACAGCAAAAAGTGATGTATACAGCTTTGGGGTTGTGTTGCTTGAACTTTTATCTGGAAGACGAGCTGTTGATAAAACAATAGCTGGTGTGGACCAGAATCTGGTGGACTGGGCAAAACCATATTTGGGTGATAAAAGAAGACTATTCAGGATTATGGATTCCAAGTTGGAGGGACAATACCCACAAAAAGGAGCATTCATGGCTGCTACACTTGCTCTACAATGCCTTAATAGTGAAGCCAAGGCAAGGCCTCCAATGACAGAGGTTTTAGCAACTCTGGAACAGATAGAAGCCCCCAAAATTGCAGGCAGAAATTCCCATTCAGAACATCATAGAGGAGTCCATACTCCTGTGAGAAAGTCTCCTGCACGAAACCGGTCCCCTTTAAATCTAACTCCAACTGCATCACCACTCCCATCTTACCGGCAATCTCCTCTTGTGCACTAAGCTGTGAACAATAAAGCATGTGTATGTAAATCCCTTATTTTTATCAGGTTGTGTTTTTGACATGTGTTGAGGCATGTACTTAAATGCAATTTTGGGTTTATATCTAATAGATCAGTTAACACCATTTATATATCTATAGATGCTATAGTAAGTTATCCGCAGCAGTATTCTGCATGTTCTTTTCTTTTTCACCCTTTTTTTTTTCACAGGCAATGTCTTGATAATAACAACGACACACATTGCTTGCATTCAATTGTGGTGACATTAAAACTGTCCACCTCAGTTGTTTTTACGGGGACAGATGATCATCGGCCATCAACATGTAAAGTTAAAAGAAGCTATTGCTTCTAACGTTAGTTTTTGTCTTTATGGTGAAAGTTAAGGCGCTCTAGGAAGCAGCGAAGTTAACAAGAAGCTTGTTCTAATAGGTTCGGCCATATAATCTCCGATTATACAATATAATACCAAATTATGCTGTAGTTGCTCTAAATTAGCCACAAGCTAGGAAGCATGGGTACTACATGCAATGTGGATATAATTTGACATAACCCTGAGATACGACTAATTTGAAAGAAAAAAAAATTGTAAGACAGCATGAATATGGTAAATATGAAGTTTACACAAAAGCACAATTTAAATGAAAAGAGAGAATCAATGTTTTAAAATTTAGCATTAGTTGTTACTTTGATGCTAATTGTAAGTACTATTATTTATTTGTTCAAAAAATAAAATAAAAAATTGTAGAATGCGGTGAAAAAGATCGAGAAGTGTTTGCTTCTTCTGCCACAACTAGAGCCATTGTACTGAATAATTTTTCATCTAAAAAATGATTTTTTTGGCTCTAGCGAAATAACAGGATGGAACTACATCCTATTATTTTTTGGCTCATTCCCCATCGCTCCATCTGAAGGAGGTCTTTCTGATATGCACCACAGCCATGATAACTGCAATTAGAAAAATGTTGAAGATGCATCAATTTAATTGTGTTTAGATTAACTTCTTTTGTATTCAAAATAGCTTATTAAGATTTTTTTTTTTAAAAAAAGATAATTATTTTCCACAAAATGATTATATAAGTAGCTTAGAGCAACCAGCAGGAAATTGTAACTTGCAAGATTTAATATCATGATGAATGAGTGACCTTCCATATCCATAGCTACATGAAAGGACCGAAGAGTAGTTAGTTAATTAAAATAATCATATTTAGATTGTTAAAGTGCTATAGGTTGGGAATCAATTTAAATAGGAGGAAAGGGTAAAAACGCAAATTGTTAAATTATTTGCTAATCTGTTCTTGCGATATTTTATAAAAAAGGAATTGTCAACGATTAATAATATTTTTTTGTTTTATAGAGAATTTGGGTTAGAATCTAAAAAGGCTTGATTGTATTTTTCATATAGAGATAACAGAAAAGAGAATTGTTATCAAAAAAAAAAAAAAAAAAACAGAAAAGAGAATTAAATAAGACAGAATTAAGGTGAAGATTTATAAGTCATCATGTGTGTCATTAATTACCTTTTCTAATTATATTTAAGAATTCCCACGAAACCAACAACAGCATTGATAATAGGGTTTCAATTTTTTCATGCGGTAAGAGAAAATTTTCTCATATATTAGACACATCTTATGTGGAGCCCACATCTATTAAAAAAATAAAAAAATAAAAAAATATTGTACAAAAATCGAAAGATCACTAATAAGAGAAAACAACTTTCCTACGACACGAGAAAATGTTTTCCCTTCATAATAACCTGTTTTTTTTTATTTTATTTTTGATAACTCGTTAAAACGAAATAACGAGTTTCCCTGTATTATGTTATGTGTCAGTTTTTTTTTTAATAACTCGACACAAAAAAACCAATTTGCTTCTACAGGTTCAGATACGACCCTGAAAATTTTATTTATGTAATTATGTCTGCACGCTTAAAGTTTGTTTGGTGTGATGTATAAGACCTGATAATATAAACTTATACTATACGTTATGACATTTTTAGGTGATGTATAACTTAATCAAGCCTAGGAGGATAGGATTAGGCCTGATAAGAGGTTGATGTATTAACTAATGCAATTCTCAAGAATTAATATATTATTTTAATATTAGTATATTAAAATAAAATATAAATTTTCAATATATAATTTTTTAAAATAGTGGAGTTTTTTATTTTTTAAAAAATTAATATAGTTTTTGGACACACTGATCAACATATTTCTATAAAAAATAATATCCTCTGATATATTTGGAAGAATTATGTAAATTCATTATAAAAAGGTATTTTTGACAACAATATTTATTTTTAACCTATCTAGTATTATACAGTATATTATTACCAAACATTGGATGATATTATCTTATACAATATATAATCTTATACAATATAACGTCAAACACTAGATAATATTAAAATTTAATCAGGTCTTATACAATCATGCCTTATACTATCAGGTCTGATCTTATACTATGTACCAAATTTTGAAATGCATTAAAAAACAAAAGAATAAAAACATGAAGAGAAAAGAAAACTATTCATATATATCAAGTTTTTCTATTTCAAGCTATTTCACACATATTTCATTTTTTTTTAAATGCTACTTCTCAAGCTATAGTAAAGTACTTTTTGGATCCTCAACAAATATCACGGGACCCAATTTAATCATTTAGAAAAAAAAGTCGACTCATGATCCCTCTGAAATTCAAAATAGACCTATGTTATTCTCTTTGAGGGACTAACGTGGGTCTTATTTGAATTTCAGATGGACCACGATTCTGAATAAGTATGTCTTTTTAAATTTCAGAGGGATTACAAGTCGACTTTTTTTTTCCTAAGGGATTAAAATGGGCCTTGTGACTTTTATTGATGACCCAAAAGGTACTTTATCTTCAAGCTATTTCAAGTGAATTTTTTTTGAGTAAAGACCCTTTTAGGTCCCTAACAAAAAATCCCACCTTTGTTCCTTTACAAAAAAAAAAAAAAAAAAAATAGTCCCAAGGTCCTTAAAAAATTCAAAGTGGATCACATTAGTTGAAATTGTAGTCCTTCACAAATTCAAGAAAGACTCACATTAGTCTCTCAAAAAGACTAAAATGGGTTTACTTTGAATTTCATAGAGGACTAAAGTGGACTCACATTATTAGTCTCTCAAAGTGAACTCACATAAGACTATTTTTTTTAAGGGACTAAAGTGGAGACCGTATTTTTGTTAGGGATTCAAAATGAGCTTTATTCAAAAAAAAATTTGCGTCTGCACTTGCATATATAGGCAACCATGTAGGTCCGCCAATGTACAGGTTACACATAAAAAAGTTGGATCTGGATCTTCAAGTTAAAAAAATTATATAATATGGTCATGTGAAAAATCAAAATCATACAAAATGAATTAATTGTGATAAAAGAAGAGAAAAAATATTAAAATAAATAATTATAAAATTATAATCATTAATTTATCTTAGTATAGTTATAATCTTTTTACAGAATCATGTCATTTTTTGTTTAAAATAACATTTCCTAAAAATTATATACTATTACAAGACACGCGGAAAATAGTTTACTACAATGGTACAATCTTGTGCACTCAATTTTGAACCAATTTATAAATTTATTGCACTCAATTTTGCACCACGCAAATAAAATTAGTCTTGTCCCACATAGAAGAATCATCTGTAGAGTTTCGCCTCACCCAGGCAAAACAAGTCTCGTTCATTTTGGGCAAAATAGCCTAATTCAGGCGAGACTCTGCACACTATATTTTCTACTCCTTTTACCGTATCTTGTTTTCTTTTTTGGTTCGATTTTTTCAAGACTGCCTTATAAATTCTCAAGAAAATATATATAAAAAGATGAAATTTATACTCTCTTTATTTTTTTCAGTAAAACCCATGTCTCTTTGTGTCTATTTCTATTTTAAAAGGATTAAAATTTGTATCTTTTAAAAAGACATACACTTATCCAAATCCATTGGCACATATGGAAGAAGTCTGTGTTTCCTTAACCAGTGGTCTCGAGTTCGAGTCTTAGGTATGAAAAAAACGGATTGGGGAGAGCCACTCCCGAAAGGGTCCGACAGTGCTCGACATGAGATTAGTCTCACCCCCGAAGGGGGTGGGGATACCTTGAGATTACTCGGAAAAAAAGACATACACTTTTTCCCTAAATAAACATAATATTATAAACAAGAAAATAGTATGTTGCATACAATACGACAAAACTAAGAAATAGTACGTTGCCACACTATGCATAAAGATATAAAATTTCAATATTTTAAAAATAAATTATTACATCAATCTCCTACAAGTATGACAAAATTATAGTTCATATTGCACAGTGATTAAGTTAGTTATAAGAGGGATAAATTTTTGTTAACGGTGAGTATATTCTTACCAATAAAATAAATATAAGCTTTTCCATTTTCATTAACTCAGTTTCAAATAATTGACCTAGTTAGGATTTGAACTTACAATCGTGTCTTATTACACATAAAAAGCTCATTAACTGTTCACCAACGCCCGGATTTTCTGTGAATAGATTTGAAATGCTTTGAAAAATAAGAAAATTGCAATATATTCAACCAAAATTCACAAAAATAATATCAGCAAAATATTAGTCACTAACCATTTTCTTAGTAGACAAGCAAGAAAGTAAAAGTTGCCCAGTAAACATTTTTCAAGCATCAAGTGACACCGGGAGTTCCCCCAAACACTTCAGTATTGGATATAACAATAGAGCCCTTAATGAAGTGCTCAGGGAAACTCTAGGGGAAACCTAAATTATGTCTTCTTTGGCTTCTTGGTATTGAAACTTTTGCTAAGCTGTTATATTTATAGTGATGTTCTCTTGCCACAACATTGTTGTTTGAGCAAAGAAATATCATCATAAAACAGAAAGCTTGCAGTGAACCTAGACGGTTCAACAACCTAGATAAAAAAGAGACCTTAATTAAGAGAATCTTTGTGTCAGAGCAGTATCCCAGTTTTCCTTTTTCTATATCAGTCTATTTGTTCCAAGAACGTTTCACTTTCGGCAATTTTTGTAGTACATGAAAGTTTAGGTGAGATTAGACATAGTGTGAAGTTAAATCTTTTTAAGGATTTCGAAAAGGAATTATCGATAATTCACCAATAAAGTTTTAATATCAGCCGGCTATATTCAAATTCACACCCTTA